GCCCCCCCCCAAGAGGAGCGGGGGAAGTTTCCAGCCCGCTGGCCCCCCCCCCCCCTCCCGCTCTCCGTCCCGCAGGGAGCGCCGGTGCTGCTGGTGGGCCACCACGTGCTCTACGGGAAGGCGGTGCGGCTGGAGAAGGCCGTGGCCGTCCTGCGCAGGGGGGTCGCCGCGCCCGAGGACCCCCGCGGCCCCGCCGCCTACGAGGTCGCCGCGCTCATCCGCACCAAGCTGCTCTTCAAGACGCGCCCCAAGCCCATCGTCCCCAGCGCCCCCAAGAAGGCCTGAGCGCCCTGCGGCGCTGCCTCCCCCTCCCCTCCCTGGCTGCTCCGGGGCTTCCTCCCTCCCTCCCTCTTGCTGGGACCCCGGTTCCTGAGGGGGAAAGAAGAGGGGCCGGCTCTTCTGTTTACAAAGCTTTATTATTGTAACAAATGTCATTAAAAAAACTCCAAACCTGTTTTTAAAAAATGAAAATGTAAGTAAAAAATAAATAAGTTTACAAACAGCTTTGAAGTGTTCAACTAGTCTTATTAAGAAAGTACAAAAGCTTCTGGAGGGACGTCAGGAGCCCAAAACAATCAGCCTGCAAAAGGGAGGCAGCTGAAGCTTAGCAGGAGAAGAGCAGCAGCACTTAGATTTATATACCGCCTAAGCGGTTTACAGACTCCGCCTCCTGCCCCGCCCCTCTCCCAACAATCTGGCTCCTCCTTTTACCGATTTCGGAAGGATGGAGGCCAAATCAACCTGGAGCCGGTCAGGATCAAACTCCTGGCAGTGGGCAGTGACTTACCCTGCGGAACTGCCTTCTAACCACTGACCTGGCATGGCTGAAAGAGCAATAAGAGGCAGTCGATCCAGAAGAAGGAAGCCCAGCCAAAGGGGGCTCTCCTCCCCAATAGGCTTTGGCCTTGGCCAGCTTGGGGGGAGAAGCTCCTTGTGAAAGGCCTCTGCGCCTGGCGTTTCCTCCCCCTCTGGCCTTGAGGCCTGTGCAAAGAGGGAGCCTCGGAGGAAACCCCCCCAGGCCACCTTTGAGGACCAGTCACTTCCTCTGCATCAGTTCCCCAAATTACCAGTTGGCAGACTGGCATACCAAGAAACGGCCTGGGCGAAGGCGCTGAAGCAGGAGTGAGCTCAACGTGGCTGCAGAGCGATTGCTCTCTGGAATGGCAGAAAAACCCTGTGAGATCCTGAAGGCTCTTGGGATTTGGACCAAGGAAGGCCCTGGTCCTCTTGATGGCTTGGCAACCTCAGCATTTCAAGCCAATAACAAAACAAAAAAAACCCCACAAGTAGATTATTTGCTCATTTTTTGCGAAAACCTCAAACTGCATATCGGAAGCAAAATGTGTAAATCAAACCTGTTTTGCAAAATATCAAGTTGCAGGCAAGTAATCGCTGGTTACAGAATGATTTTCTCAACTTAACATGTTCTTTTACAAGGCAGGAATATGCCTAATTGGAGAAGGATGTATATAAATACTTTTTTTGGTTCAGAAATTAATGCCCATAGAAGACTGAGAGGCGCTGTGACACCCCCTCACCAGTCAACGTAGCTGCCTCTGGGAAAGAGCTGTGAGGAGGAGCCGTGTAATGAGGCAGAAGCACAAGAGTCCTGTGCAGCACCTGTCCCCCCCCCCCCCATGCCCCAGAACTGAAGGAGGCTGAGGGGTCTGGATATCAGCTAGGATCGGGAACTCCCATTAGCAAGGAAGACGCCAGGAACCCAGGGGAGAGAGCTCTGTTCAGCCAGCCTATGAAGCTTCACTAGTTCTCCAGATGTGCTGGAGTTTAATTGCTGGCTGGGGATGATGGGTTGAAGTCCATACATCTGGATGGCAGCAGATCAGTAAAGGTTGTATTAGAGCATTTAACGCTAATGCAACAAAACATTTTATCATTATAACATGTTTTCTCAGGCCACTGAACTTGCATTCTTTTAAATGTGCAGGCCTTATTATACAGTATCCGTATTTCTGATAAGCTAAAAAGTTTAGAGCAGGACAGTATCAGAGTTGGAAGGGACCTTAGAGGTCTTCTAGTCCAACCCTAATTAATGGTCTCTCCTTAAAAGCTCCCACCCACAACCTCTGCAGGCAGGCTGGGGGAAGGGATTTGTAAAAAGCAGAGCACAGTCTGGCAACAGATGTACAAGGCGGGAAACTCCAGAAAAAGTCTCCGAATTTTTCTGAGACGGTTTTAAATATTGCTTAAAATATAGAAACTTGCTTTTCAAAAAAGGTGGAAACATGCAGAGTTCTCAGTTTCAGGAATCCCCTTTAGCAGTGGTCTCCAACCTTGGCCACTTTAAGACCTGTGGACTTNAGGAAGGAAGGAAGGAAGGGGGGCCTAAGCACCTGACTCCGCAACGGGTGGGGTTTTCCAGACCAAGCAAAGGTGCTGCACAGACCTCTCCAGGGGGATTCCTAGGACGCCCGTTCCCCTCCTTTCTCCAAGCAGAGAAGGCAGCAGTGAAGGATGGAAATGCCAGGGAGGGCTGGACAGGTTTGCCCCAGCCACAGTGTTAAGTGTCAGGGTGGGAAATCACGGCTTCTCACCTTGGCCTTCAGCTGGAGCAGGTTCTGGGGGGGACAGGACACCGGCAGGACCTCACCAGGCCTTCCTGCAACAAGAAACAAGGCGACTTGCAGAAAGCCGGGTGCCATAGGGAAACAGCGAGCCAGTCCTGGTGCGATTGCCAGGGAGGGTGGCAGGGAAAGCAGGCTGCGCTCTTTGCCGTGCCCATCCTCTGCATGCTGAAGCCATGTGCATCCTCACCAAAGACGTTTGTGGTGCCAAGCCGCCAGAGCTCCAGGTGCTGGGGGTACTGGAAGAGGAGGAGCCGGGCCGTCCTGGCACAGGAGACGAGGCACCTCTGCGAGGAGAGAAAAGCCACCTGAAGCCCCAGCAAAAGAGACCACTGGCGCCCCATCATTGCAGGATCCCACCCTCCTCCTCAGGAGCACACCCCCCTCCCCGCCGCAAGCTGGAGAGAGCAGTCCCCGTACTCACGTGGGGGAAGATGATTGTGCGGAGGGCAGCATCATAGGACTTGGAGTCCACCTTCTCCATCAGGGGCCGGATCACTAGTTGCCCATCCAGCCCTGCCAGAGGAAGATGCCTGGTGAGGGCTGGCTCTGGGCATCCCCCCAAAGGCCTTCTGGCCTCTGGCTTATCATCATCTCAGTCAAGATGTGCAGACTCCTTGGACGAGCCAGGGCTCAGCGCAATGAGAAAAGCCATCCCAGCCGCCCAAACGCCACCGGACCAGGGGAGAGAGCCAGGAACACAACGGGTCTCATCTACCTGGCTGTGTCCCTTGGGGATCCTGGGCAGGGGGGGCGGGTGGGGGAGAATAGCCTTACCCAGCTTCCTCCGATTAGTTACAACCTAGAAGACGGGCCCCCTACTGTACCTCCAGAAATGAAGGCTGTGGCAGTGTGCGCCACCGTCCGCACGTCGTGAGTGTGATGCCGAAAGGGCCTGGTCCGCACCCACTGGCGCTCAGAGCTGCCCAGCTTCACCGGCAGCAACTGGAACTGATATACCGTCCCCTCCGAGGTGCCAACAACCATACTATCTTCTGCCTGAAGAAAACGATACCAGTCGATGAGAACATGATGCCAGGAACCTCCCAGGGCACAGAGGCTCAGTTCCCCCTTATGCCCCCGGCCAGATGCCCTATTGAGACAGCGGCTCAGCCACAGCTGGCCCTTGGCTTCCTCCTGCTCAACGTTGAACAACTTCATCATTTTAAATTGGACTGGCAGCACGAGATGCCCGTGAATTCCTTTCTAGAAAAAGCAGCCCATGAGTTGTGGTACTCGTGCAAGTCTGGTTGGGTGGGAAGCTGACCCCCCCAGCTCCACACAACGAGGCCTGAGGGGGAATCTGGGTTGTGGGAGCTGGCCCGGCCCAACTGCCTCAGGGCAGAATGTGGATAAATATTCAATTCTCTGATGTCACATAAAATTAGTTCAGGATTTGCAAATCTGCCCACATTTTGTAACTCTCACCCACCTCAGCCACGGCCACGGAAAGCACTGCGGCTTTGCTGATGGGGTGCTTGGAGAGCAGAGTGCCCATCACCGAATCCCAGAACTGCACTTTCCCAGCAGAATCCACGCTGACCACCGTGCCATCTGAAAGGAAGGCCAGGCCCCACACCAGACATTTCTGGCTGGAGGGGCCTTGCAAACCCCCTTCTACCAGGATCCGCTGGCTGGTGTGCCCTAAGAAAGACACACGGGGAAGTTCAGGTGTGGCAATTACAACTTAGCCACACTTGAAGCGATCGGGAGAAACAGTTACTCAGGCAAAGGCACAGAAAACTATTCTCTCCCACAAGGGCTCTTTGCCTGTCTGGGGTCCTCGATGGTCTCCACCACCTTCTTTTAGAAGACCTACAGAAATTGAACCCTTTTGCACCCCGAGATCAAGACAGGCTCCAATGACTAAGGGCACTGCCACTGTCTCTGTCGGGCGCAGCTGAAGCAATCGAGAGAGCACCAGCCCTCAGCGCCAGGGTGGCACGAAGACTCCCTTGGCAGCCCAGGCAGGTCCCCCCCAGGTGCTCCTGCTTCCCTTAGTGCAAACTCAGATGGAGAACTTACCAGATTCAATGTCGAAGATGTAGAAGCAGCCGATGGAGCCTGCTGCGATCTTCGTCCCCGAGGGATGCCAGGATAGAGAGAGGATGCGCTCTGGGGGGGAGGGGGGGAGAAAGAGGGGAGGGTCTCAGCCCCAGAGGCTGGAACCATCCAGGTGACGCTGCTCCCCCCAGCCCCAAATGGAATCCGGCTGCCCTGGATGGGACGGCCTCTGGCAGCCACTGGACTCCTGCCCTGGGGCTTCCCACCCTGGAAACAGGTCGATTCTTGACTTTTGGAATCTATCCGGTAATCCCAACTTTAGGCAAAGCGTTAAAGAATTAAAGCAACGTAATTATAGTTGTTTTTCAGGCTCTGATCATTTTCATCGGCCGAAACTAAAGACTTTAGCCTGGAATTGATAGAAAGCGCTCTTGGCCCTGAAAGCAAAGCTCCCCCCTGGCCCCTCTTCTCTGGTTTCTCCCGCCCCCCCAGCTCCCCCCCCCGCTGGCCCAACGCCCCCCGACCTTTCTGCCGGTCCAGCTGCCTCTCAAATTGGATGCGGTCCGAGTCCACTCGGAAGAGCTTGACGGAGCCGTCCTCGCAGCCCACCTGCGGAGAGCAGCCGAGCGTCGGTCAGGGCACCCCAGAACTCCCGCCCCCTCCTATCCCGCGAGCCCCCGACTCACGCACCGCCAGCCGGGCGTCGGTGGGGTCGGCCGCCATGCTCCAGAGGGGCCCCCCGAAGGCCTCCAGCGAGCCCTTCACGCGCAGCCGCTGCAGGTCGTACTCCAGCACCGCACCGCCCAGCCCGGCGCCGAAGAGCCGCTCGCCCGCCGCCCAGCACAGGGCCTCCGGGGCGCGCGCCTCGTCCCCCGGGATCACCTGCGGGAGGGAGGGAGA